AACCTGTGACACGCGTGTCAGAGGTGACACGCGAACTCATTTTTTTTGGTTGATTTTTCTTTGTTAAATGGCATTTAAATATATAAAATAAATATCAAAAATATAAATCTTTGTTTTACTATGGTTGCAAATATCAAAAAATTTCTATATGTGACACGGCACCAGAGTTAAGTTAGGGTTTTTCAAAATGTGGACACGCCGAGCTCGAAAGGTTCGCCATCACTGTCATAGATGTTTCTGCCTCTCTTTCCCTCTCCCTTTCTTTATGAAATCAATAAAAATCTCTATATATAAAAGGCTAATATGCAAAGTGTCCCAGCAGGAGTTCGACTAGGAGACTGGGAGTTCTATGGCTTGCTATGACATGTGCTGACCACAAGGGTGTGGTGTGGAATGAAGGAAGGCTCTGGCTGGCAACCAGAAGGCCCTGATCAGCCCTGAATGCCTGCCAGGCCTAGGGACCCTAGTCATGCAGAAACCTCTAGTATATAATAAAAAAAGATGTCACACAATGTAAGCAAATTTAAAATCATTTTGCTTACTTAATCAGTGATACTTTCGGTGCATAATCAAGGGATCAGTTGGAGCAAGCTAAATATCCAAGTCTAGGTAATTATTTGAAACAAATTAATGCTTAACAATAAGGGATAGAAAACCTGTTTCTCTGTGACACCAAATAAAGCATATGATTCCCAAAGGTTGAAAGAGCAATCTTGGTGTATGATTTCTGTGGGGCAATGCTGCTCTTAGCTAGAATACATATCTACTGATATGTTTAGCAGCATTTTATATCGCAGTATATCTTTGACTATATTATGATTTTTTTTTAATTTTGGCAATGTTGAATGAAATTAAAGAGAAAAAAACCCCAAGATCTTGCAACTGTAACATAACTGATTTTTTCATGTTCTCTCCTAGTCTTCATTCACTTTGCATAGAACTTGTACATGTAAATGTTCTGCTTTAGTTTTTGCCCAACATTATGTCTCAAATAATTTTTCATGATGCTACATGGCCTAACTTTGTACCAATTTTTCATGATTGGAATTCT